GTTCATTTAGTACTATTCATTCAGTGCTGTTGTACAGCAGATGGACTACAAATGAAGATCTCAGCAGCTTCACTCTTATGACTATTGTCTTAACCTGGATGAATATAAGGCTGGAACCCACTGCAGATGGCCAGTGGTGTGCCTAATGTGATTTCTAATATGGCTTGGGCCTCCTTAAGGAGAGTAGTTTCAGGGTTGGCTTCCTGCATAGCAGTCCAGGGCTCCAAAAGGCTAGGTTTGGAGCTAGTAATAGTGTCATTTATGCTACAATTTCTTGATGCACTAAAGGACAGCCAGATTTCAGGGGAGAGGAATTAGATTCCTCTTCTCAGGGAAGAAGCAGCAAAGGATCTGCAGTCATCAGTTCAAAACAGCACCACCACCAATTCTGGTGACTAGCTAGTTGAACACATAGGCAAAAGGAACAGGACAGAAAACCAGGAATCAGGAGCCAAAACAGAAATTCAGTTTAATCATACTTCATACTCCTTTTGTGACAGGATTAAAAGAAGATTAAAAGAATATCTCAATAAAACTTCATTGCCTATCATTTGAAGCAATAGGAAATTTTTGTGAGAAAGCCACTATTTCTCAAGTTTTTTTTTGTTTTGTTTTGTTTTAGAATATGCATATGAGTGCAGGTATGTGGAGGCTAGGTGTTAATCCCTGGGGGCTGGAGTCACAGGTGGTTGTGAATTGTCTGATGTGGGAGCTTCGAACCAAACTCAGGTCTTTTGCAAAAGCAGTACTTGCTCTTAACTGCGGAAATCTGTGTAGCCTGAGTATTTTTCTTTAATTACTACAAAATACAAACTGGCACACCGATGCAATCCTATAATCCCAGTACCAGCAGGCAGAGGCAAGAGGATACCAATTCTAGGCTAGCCGGTGCTACAATAGAGAGTTCCAGCTCAGCCTGAGCTACATTGTGAGAATCTGTCTAAAAGAGGGAGGTGGGAAGGAGACCAGGAATATCTACCAGTGGTGCAATTCTTGCCTAACATGCACAACACTGGTACTGCAAAACCAAAACAACCAAATGAACTGCTTCCTCAGAGACAAGAAAGCTTGATCCAAATTTCATCGAAACAGCTGTGATTCTGAAAAATAAAATGTCAACAGCTTTTGAAGAGACATAGTCCAGTCAATGCTCAGAGAAAAACCCTGAGTTTCTCTATGGAACTGTCACAGACTGTCTTCTGTCCATAATCCTTGCTCTGCTTAAAAATTAATTACTGTATATAGCTTAGTTCACTCATCTGTGGTACTTACTGTGCACTTGTAATATTGCCTTTTCTATTGCCAGAGATTCAGTTCCTTGCATTTTTTAATTTTAAAAAATTTATTATTATGGGGGGACACATGCATATCACAGCTTGGGTATGGAGGTCAGAGGACAGCTTTGTGAAGTCAATTATTTCCTTCCACCTTTAGGAGTGTTGCTAAAATTCCTTCCTTTGGGGGAGACATAGACTGTCTCCCCGAATATAAAAACATATAAGAAAGTCTACTCCATCCTCCTACAGTCCCAACAACAACCTGAGGCATGACTCCACCAGTTTATTGTGGGGAACCAATGGTTTATTAAACTTACTTATAGAGAAATGGATGAGTATGAGTATGGGTAACCTTAAAGTAGCCACACTGAGAGGTCTGTACTCAGCATGAATGATGACTCCCTCATGGCTGTGTAGACAGAGACCCTTCCCCTGGTCCTTCTCCACCTGACCTTCCCTGAAACCTTGAGGCTATATACATTTAGGGCAGAATCGGATACAACTGGTTGGGGAGGGGTGGCTGAATACTCAAGTATTCCACAATCCTCCAAGCTTCTCCTTCTGTGAGAGAATGCCAGCAGTCAACAAACACTGTTGTGGTCTTTGTGAGATGGCCCAATGGAACACCTGGAAATGGCAGCAAGTATAGCTTAGTCCTGTGCAACACTATGGCTTCCACGGATTTAACCCAGATGGTCAGGCTTGCACAGCAAATGCTTTAACCTGATGAGCCACAGCTGAGTTCCTTGGTTTTAAACAGACCTTGAAAGAAAATACTCAACTTCATGTGTAAAACAAACAAACAAACAAACAAAAAAAAAAACCAAAAACAAAATAAGGATAGCTAAAACAATTCTGTACAATAAAAAGAACTTTTGGAGGTATCACCAACCCTGATTTTAAGCTGCACTACAGACCTATAGAAATAAAAACATCATGGTATTGACATAAAAACAGATAGGTTAATCAATGGACTGGAATCAAAGACCCATGGCTACCTGCTTTTTGATAAAGAAGCCAGAAATATACAATGGAAAAAAGAAGGCATCTTCAACAAATGGTGCTGGTCTAACTGGATGTCAGCATGTAGAAGAATGCAATCTCTATTTACCCTTCACAAAACTCAAGTACAAGTGGATCAAAGAACTCAACATAAAACCAGATATGTTGAACCTAATAGAAGAGAAAGTGGGGAATAGCTTTGAATGTATTGCCACAGGAGACAACTTTCTGAACAGGACACCAATACATAGGCACTAAGATTGACAATAAATGAGACTGTATGAAACTAAAAAGCTTCTATAAGGCAAAGGACAATGTGAATAGAATGGGAAAAGATTTTCACCAACTCCACTTCTTTATATATCTGAAATATACAAAGAACTCAATAAACTAGATAACAACAAACCAAATAATCCAATTAAAAAGTGAAGTACAGAACTAAACAGAGAATTCTCAACAGAGGAATCTCAAGTGGCCAAGAACTTGAAGAAATGTTCAACATCCTTAGCCACCAGGGAAATGTAAATCAAAATGGCTCTGAGATTTCATCTTACACCTGTCAGAATGGCTAAGATCAAAACAACAAGTGACAGCTCATGCTGGCGAGAATGTGGAAGGAGGGGAACTCTCCTCTATTGATGGTGGGAGTGGAGACTTGTATAGCCACTTTGGAAATCAATATGGCAGTTTTCCAGAAAATTGGGACTCTATCTACCTTAAGACCCAGCTATATCACTCCTGGAATTTACCCAAAGATGGTCCAACCTACCATAAGGATACTTGCTTGACTATGTTCATAGCAGCTTTATTCGTAATAGCCAGAAACTGAAAACAACCTACATGTCCCTCAACTGAAGAATGGATAAAGAAAATGTGGTACAATTATACAATGGGGAATATTTCAGCTGTTTAAAAAATAACAACATTGAAATCTGCAGGCAAATGGATGGAACTAGAAAAAGAAATCCTGAGTAAGGTAACTCAGATCTAGAAAGAAACATTATATGTACTCACTTATTCGTGGTATTAGCTGTAAAGTAAAGGATTATCCTGCTACAATCCACAGATGCAGAGAGGTTAAGTAACAAGGAGGGCTCAAGGGAGAATGCATGAATATCACTGGGAAGGGGAAATAGAATAGATATTGAGGGTGGACTGGGGGCAGGTGGGGATGGGAACAGGATGGATTAGGTGGAGGTAGGATGGAGGAAGAGAGTACTGGGAGAGATGACTGGAATTGGGGGGTATTGCGGGCAAAACAAAAGATACTAGAGGAAGTAAATATAGTCCAGAGCATTATAACCAAGAAAAGGTCAAATGAGGAATAAACCTTAGACTCATTTTACTATATTATATACTTTATTACTATTAAATTACTAGTCATATACTTGGCTTGTCAAATGTTCAACTAAGGGCAAAGAGCACGCGGCCAGGATTATAAGACAGAACTCTGCTTTTGTGCCACTATCTGATTTTCTAAAATTGAAAGTCCTTTCATGACTCTTATCTCACTTGAACCCCCCCCTGGGGCCAACACCCTGTAAGTCTGATCAGAACCTCATTTTTCAGATAATCTGTCTCATAGAAGTGAGATACTTTGTTCAAAGTAATTGAAGAAGGAGCATCAGAATTACTTTTCTGTCTCGGGAGACATTTTGCCAGAACCAGCTGTTCCTTTTGCATTAAAGGAATGTTCCAGGTGCACTGCAAGGGTTGATCTAAGACTCTATTCAGACTCTGCTTCCTCTTACTCAAGTAAAATTCTAGACTCCATTCCTTGAACACTCCACACTCTGTTCATTTTCTGTATTGTAGCCCAAGCTCTCAACATGGTTATATGATTTGTTTTTCAGCCAGGACACACTGGTACAGATGAACTAATTGTTAAAATGCTGAAATATTTGTGTGCAATGAATCGTGGCTCCTCTGAATGTTCAAACTCAAACAGGCAGGTTAATGTCTGGCACTGCAGGGGACTTCCAGATCCGGTTCCTGCTTAGTCAAAATAGCTGACTGTGCCATATAAATTAAATATTTTGAATATCTTTTCCTGCACCAAGTCACATTTTCTTCTGCTGTCTAAACTCTGTTTATTTTGGTTTTAGTGTGGGAGATTTAGCCTAGGGCCTCACACATGCTAAGCACATGCTCTATCATTGAGCTAAATCCCTATCTGTTCTCTAACTTTGATTTTTTATTAATGAATTTATTTATTTTACATCTCAGCTGCAGTTTCCTTTCCCTCCTCTCCTCCCACTCCCTCCCTCCCCATTCTCCCTGTGTTCCCACTTCCAATCTATACTCCTCATTTCTGTTTAGGAAAGCACAGGCCCCGCCTGAGTATCAATAAAACATGACAGATCAAGTTGCAGCAAGACTAAGCACCTCCCCACGTGACCCAGTATGAGGAGTAGGGTCCATTCACCCCTGGGCCAGTGCCTGTGTGTTCCTGCTGTCTCTATCTCCGGGTCTCTTACCTGTAGCTAGTTCTCTGCCTACTAGCCACACTCGAATCGCTGAATTCAGTTCTGGTTTGAATGCTGCTAGTCATTCAATTTACCATGCCTCCATAAGGATTTAAATTATAAAAGGAACTAAAAAGGAATTTTCTTTTAGTATTAAATATGCTAATTTTTATGGATCTGAAGAATTAGATTAGGATTAAACAAAATTATAAATTGAGATATTTAAAAGAAGAGGACACAAGCATTGAAGTGTAACAAAGGGGTGTTGCTTTTTTTTTTTTTTAAATCCAAAATGTGTTTATTGGGATGGTTCCCACTCATCTTGAGTCAGGTGCTTTTTAGTGCTGCTTCCTCCTGAAGGAGCATCCTTCTGTCAGCCTTGCTTTTCCGCCTGTGGGCTGACAGAGGACAGTGGAGCAGCCAACACACAAGACTACCGTTTGTGCATGGCTAAAGACCGTGATGATTTTATAGCGTCCTGGACACTTCACATCCATAAAGGAGGAATTGGGGCTCTGCACCGGGTGCTTTTTCTTGTGTTTCCTCTTTTCTGCTTCTGGAGAGGGATGAAGGAGATCCTTTTCGAGAGTCATGTTCTGGTAGGGAGCTCGAGGCGCTTTTTTTTTTTTTTTTTTAAAAAAAAACCAATTATTTCTAAACGGACAGCATGAGGTTTTCAAACTTTCTAAAGTTGTCTTCAAATTAGGGAGTAAACAAACACAGTTAATGGATCTGGCCAGAAAGAAATTAAAATATTAAGATATAGGCATTTTGCTATGATAGATTTTACAAGTGGGGAATGAATTGCTATCGTATTATTCATACTTAAACTCACTACATAGCAGAGGATGGATGACCTTTAACTTCTGACCCTTCTGTCTCCACCTGCGCAGTGCTGAGATTACAGGTGTGAGCTAGCACGCCTGATTTTAAGAGGTGCTAGAAGATCAAACCGTTGACTTAGTGCATGTCAGATAATCACTACCAACCAAGTTACGCCCTTGGCCCATTTGTAGATCTTTAAATAGGAAATAATCTATTTATTAAGAGCTGCTGAAATCTACAGGGGGCACAGAAGAATGTGAGACAATACCATATTCACAAAGTTTACCTGCCTGACGAGGTATAGTTATTATATTTGAGAAGTTGATCCAAAATTTTAATTAAAATGTGTTAAATTTAAAATTTACTTGTATCATTATTCTCTATGTGTGCATGTGTATGTATGAATATGCACGTGCTTGCGCATATGCCATGGTATGTGTGTGAAGGTTAAAAAACCAATTTTGTAGCATTAGTTCTCCCAGCCATCTTTCCCTGGATTCTGGGGAATCAAATTCATGTTACCACTCTTGTGTGGCAAGCACCTTTATCTGCTGAGCCATCACACAAGCCCTATCCAAAAACTTTTTAAATTTTAAGACAAAGTGTCACTATGTGCCCTTGGTTGGCCTGGAAAACTCTATGTAGACCAGGCTAGCCTTAACTCCTAGAGATCCACCTGCTTCTGCCTCCCAACTGCTGGGATTAAATGTGTATGCCACCACAACAGGCTGACCCCAGGCTTTTAGGTGTAAATGTGTGGAAAAAGGATAAGTCATAGGAATTTAGAAGCACTATCACTGTGAGCATGCTATTCCTAAGGCAGGTGGGCTTTGAACCCAGTTGTAAAGATTTTGGAGAGAGAGAGAAAGAGAGAGAGAGAGAGAGAGAGAGAGAGAGGAGAGAGGGAGGGAGAGATTGAGAGACTGACATTGGTATTGAGACATGAGAAAAAGGAAAGAATAGCAGAAATATAGTTGGGAATAGTAATGCACTGTCTAGTGAGTTGAAACCAGAGCTTGCTTTGAGGTGGGCTCCAAATGATAAATTTCAGGGATCTGGGTTCTGAACATGATCCATAGATGGGGAACCCAGAGATTTATTTATCATCATTTTGAAAAACTGAGTAAAATCATAAATATATTGACTCGATAGCAGTAAATCTTTAAGGAAAACATTTCCCCCAACCCCAGAAGCAGAGAACACTGGTCAATGTAATCACAGATCACCAGTAGAGGGCAGACAAGTCAAAGCTTACACTGTAGCTATACTGAAGAAAGTAACGTGTTAGCAGAAAATGCTAAGACAAAATATACATTCTTGTTGCTTAAAGGCTATTATCAGTACCTTAAATTTTAGGAAGAACCCAAATTATAAGATAAGTCTTTCACAGAAATCTGTGGTGTAAAATGCTTCTAAAGTTGCAAAATAAATGTGCTCATACAGGGCAGGCATACCAGGCATGCTACACCTGCCTTGCCTCTGTCTCTCCTACCCATCTCAGGCAGGTCCCAAAGGCTATCCAAATAAATGCCTAGCTATGTATATATCCAGGCTAGGATTCCAACCTGTGTTTTCCATTTCTTTTTGATCAACTAGGGAAATGCTTGTTCCTATGGTCTTAAAGTCAGGTGAGGTCATTGACTCAGCAGGCTGAAGAACTGTCATATAGGAAGGCTGATGGGGAGTCTTCAGTCTTACTAACTTAATATTCATGCATGAATATTAACAACTAAATAAAATGATTGATAATTTCAATAAATATTTAAAGGCTAAAGCTAGATTTTACAAATTATCATAAACTTGTTTTGTTTGATTGCTAAATGTGTTTTTAAGGATATAAGAGCAATGCTATTTAGTAGGTTGACTTTCTGCCATTTGGTGGAAGTAGTTTCCCTTCATGCTTTTATGAGTTCTTTTGTTCTTGTTTTCTTCCTTCATTTCTTTCTTTCCTTCCTTCCTCCTCCTCCTCCTCCTCCTCCTCCTCCTTCTTCTTCTTCTTCTTCTTCTTCTTCTTCTTTTTTGTTGAGGCAAAGTCTTGCTATGTTGTGCAGGTTTCAAACATGCCATTCTCTTGCCTCTAAAATATTGGGGACTCCTTCCACCCCTGCACATCTAGTAAAAGCCTTTAAGATTTGAGACGAAGATTTCTCTCTCTTTCATATAATCCTTTTCTTTTGCAGTCTTCATAAGGTAATTAGAGTTCAGATAAATGAAATAAGCATAGGAAGTCTATAATGACACAATCAAACCATTCAAATTATGCCATATTTGCAAGATATTTTTTAATCTAGAGTCCCCTGCCAAACTGAACTATGTGTTTATTGGGGAGAAAAGGAGCGAACAAAAAATGTGGAACATGGGTACACCTAATGGGATGTGTCCTTCTCCATGCAGATTCTAATATAGATGAGAATCACTTTAAAACATCCATCTACCCATCTTGTCACTAAAGGCACTCAAAACTCCAATAGATAGTTATAAGCATAAATGCAAAGAACCAGCAACTCCATAAAACTGTGCTTCCTGGAAACAGGAAAATGTTAAAAGGGATTCCCCAGACAGTATCCTAGTCAGTAAATACCTTTCCAAGCAACCACAGGAAATACTTATTACTGGCATACTTTCCAGAAGATCCTAACTTTTCTGATATTGCCTCCACAACTCATGAAAAGGATAACTAAGCCTCCAATGTGATGGTAAGATAAAACATTACATGTTACTAGAGAGGACTGAAAGGTAAGAGCTACAAGACTAACTAGCAATTATGTGGCTTTGAAAAACCAAACTAAACCAACTAAACATACACACACACACACACACACACACACACACACACACACACAGAGAGAGAGAGAGAGAGAGAGAGAGAGAGAGAGAGAGAGAGAGAGAGAGAGAAAGAGAGAAAGAGATTATTAGATACCCAATGTGGGTGCTTAAAATTGAGCTCAGGTCTTCTGGAAGAACAGTACACTGCTGAGCCATCTCTATAGCCCCTGGATTTTATTGGAAAATTAACTAGGAACAATGAAAAAAAAAGCATAGTTTGAATTTAGCTACTTTCTGCTTCTCTTCCCAAAGGTCCTTGGACTGTGCAACAGTTTCTACCTCTGCTACACAGGAGAACTGTCAAACATGAGGTCTTTCAACACCTAAATTTTTCTGTTCTCATATACTGTTTACATTGTTGTGTGATATTTTGATTATGTTCTGACAAATAAAGCTTGCTTGGAGTCAGAGGGCCGGGCCAGCCATTGACCAAAATTAACCATGGAGAACCATAGAGGTCTGGAGGACTGAAGAAAGAAAGGAGACAGGAAGTAGTAAGGTGGGGCAGAGAGAGAGAATCTCAGCCCTTTTTGGAGGAAGGAACAGGAGAGGTAGGAAGCAACTGGCAGCTGCTCCCTGCTTTTCTGATCTTTCAGGTTCTTACCCTGATATTCGACTCCCCATTTTTTATTGATAAGACTGATTAGATTAATGCATTCACCTGGCATCTAACTTGGTGCATGAAAGCATAAGATAGAGGATCACCCCTAGTTTGCAGCCGTTGCAGTTGCCATTGGTAGCCACGATTTTTGTCTTGCTCCAAGACTTTGTAGCAAGTCTGGGATTTTCCTGTTGCAGCCTTTCTACAACAGTCTCCATCTGCCACCCAAACTCCACAGGTGGGGACTCCAGTGGCACCTGGAGTTTCCCACCTGGGCTCCATGCCCCGCCTGGACGCAGTCATCCACGGCCAGCTGGCTCTGCCTGCAGGCAGTGCCCACCACACACGCTTCTTCCGCATGATCCCCTGTGTCCATTTTTCAGACAGCTGGCTCCCTTCCCTGGGGGTTGTAGGCTCCCATGGACCCCTCCTGGGGCTGCTGCCACACTAGGTAGCTAACTGTCTTGACACCCACTGGGGCTTCTATTTTTATTGCAACCACCACACACTCTCAGTTCTCAGCTACACCTGCTCTCAGCCAAGCTGTGCACAGGCTGTGTTCTCTGTCCACAGTCAGCTTCACACTTCACTGTTATCAGCAGCAGATTGGTGAGACAACTGGGAATTCTTAAAGGGTGAATTAGTTTTTAAAAAGGGGGGTGCAATAGTTTTTTCCCACGTTAAAGATGGCAAACAATATTATGATGGAGGGAATTAGGTCTCTGTATGATCCACAATGGATGGTTTAAAAATGGAACAATTAAGTGAGGGGATAATTAGTTGGTATTACATAATGCCAATTATAAATGTTATCAATTTGGTATTCTTGTTTTATTCCTAAAAAGTTGATTGATATGACTACTAAGATATAGGCCTTAAATAATGCAATTTTGACTGATAAGTTACAACAAGTCTTAGAAAAATTTACTAAAACAGATAATAGAGATACTCAGACCCAGACAGAGGAATTAAAAGGAGAACCAACCTCACCATTACATTATGAAATTAGATTGGAATAGCTCAAGGTTATAAAAAAAATCAACCTTAATTTATCCAGTCCCCATACAGGAATAACCACAAAATGACAGGTATCCCCAAGGCTATGGAAGAGCTGACTGGATTCAGTTTGAGGAGATTTAAGGGGACGATAGTCTCATATGGTATGCATTCACCTTTTGTGAGGAAGATATTAAACTCTTGGGCAACTACTAACAGAATTATCCCACAAGACTGGAAAGATTTGGTTACAGCAGTATTGGAACCTGGTCCTCAATTACAGTGGAGGACCTGGTGGGAAGATGAGGCTAGAACCATTGGACAACAAAGGAGGGATAGAGGTATTGAAATTTCCCAAAA